TAACTTCAGGACCCGTGAGATTAGTTGTGGTGTGTGCAAATTGACCTGGACACTCACGTTAATCTAAAAAAAAAAATGTTTGAACATCGTAGAAAGCTGTATGTGCTGCCATAACACAATGACTAGCTTTTACATACACAAACGAAGTTTTATTGCTTGTCTACCTTTACTCATTGTACTTGTTTTAGGTTCAATTTTGATATCTTAAGTCTTAATTGTTTTACATCAATATAATTTTATTATATTTTTTCAAATTAAAAATCAGCTGAGTTTAGGAATTTTCCTTTAACATTGTGATAACTCTATATATAGACAATTGAAATAAATTACTAAATCAAATCATAAATAAATGCAATGCGGAAGGAACTTCTTTTTAAAAAAGGTTAAATGACCAAAAAAAGACACGAGCTCTTCCCTTCATCGCACAAATTAATCCTTAGTTTTATATAAAAAAGAGACTAAATATTTGTTCAAGCTTCAAAGTCGATCTTCAAACATTTAATTCTTTTAAATCAACAAAATTAATTTTTTTTGGCTAAGCTAAGCATTTACTGAGTGATATAACATTTACGTAACAACACGAGATCCCTATAAGCAAGCATAAAAAAAAAATCTCCAAGACCAATCACAAATCAATGCAACATTAAAGGACCAAATAAAAAATAATTAAGGGACCAAAATGAAAAAAAAATCTTAAGAACCAAAAGAAAAGGAATTACTGTTGTAATCCACGTTGATTTCTCTAAGAGGGCACAATGAACCACTAATAACAATACTTGAAATCCAAATAATTCTGTTCTTCAATCTACATTTTCAATGGAGCTAACTGGAGCTGGAATGTAAATTTGCATGGTAGAGAGTTGAAACTCTGGCATCCATAGAAAACGCAAGCCATCTGAGCAAAGAGCTGAGATCAATAAATGTTGATACTGGTTCCTAGGATCTGGGTTTTTCATTTGTATCCTGTTGCCAAGAGTATTAAATTGCAAGAGAAGGAATTTGTAAGAACTAGTGCAATTCAATATCCTGTAGCAAGGCATCTGTAACATAGATAGTCAAATCCAAAAACAAACTTTGAACACAATCCGGCAATAATATTCAACAACATGAAAACTCAAAGCAGTCCTGGCAACTTGAAAAGATAGCAATGCAAGAAAACATGATGTGCTCTGTTTAAGATTGCTCTTCTGACTTTTCCTCCTCCACAGCAGCTCCTTCCTCTGGGTTTGACTCGGCCAGTTCAGGAGGTGTGGAATTTGATCTCTTGTGTGCAGCTGATGCAAGGACATGGCTGTAGGTTCCCTTTTCCATGAAGAGCTGAGCGAAGTGGACCTTGCAGTAGAGGACTCCGTCAAGAGCTGCATAAGATGAGTGTGTGAGTGGACACCCACCATGAGCACACCTGAAGCATGTCTTGTGGTAACATTCTCCCTCCATGGTAACCTATGTCATCATTGGTTATAGCACATATGTACTTATTCCAGATTATCATAGGCATGACTATTAAATAACAAAAACTTGAAAACATCTCTCAGATAGATCCATCTATAATAGATAAGATGTACCTAAGAATATGTTCGTCATTTATCTGATAAATGTAGGGTTTTAAATAGCACACAGGTCTTTAGGACCTAATGGATTTATTTAAGTTTAGAGCTGAAAACAAACCTTCTCCAATGGGTACACTGTTTTGCCGCAAGTGGAGCATTTGTCTTGGGTTCCACAGAACACTGACGATAGTTTGCTGGGGATCCTAGACTGTAAAAATACACAGAAATTATAGTGCTATTATAAGTCATGGAAGAAAAGGATAAAATCTGAAAACTAGAATGTATTTTGAAATATCCCAGAAAAATATCATTCATCAGGATGGTTTCCAGATGCCACCATAAATCACTTGATGGGACATCCAAACACACCCTAAGCACTTAAAATGGGGATCATGAATATTATACCAGGTCATGAGTCCTCTCGGGCTTCCCTGCAAGAAAATGTCGTCAAATTGTTAATGTATATGGGAAAAAAATTATCAAACAATGGCATCTCATCGAAACAGTACTATAAGATAATTGAATAAAGGACAAAAAAAATATCACCTTTCTGAAAATTCTTGCTGAAATCTCCACCCTCCTTGAAAAGTTGCTCAAAATGAGTTTTGCAGTAGAGGACTCCATCCATGGATGAGTAGTTGCTCATCTGCCATGCGCAGAATTATTTTCAATTGTGGAATATCATTTGTCGCAACTCCGAAGCCAAAATAACAAACCAAAAAAAAAAAAAAACAATAAAAGGCAACTAATTACTAATCCATGAATTGGAAACTCCACCAATGTTGAATGTTGGCTTGCTTTTTTCCAAACCCAGTTGATCAATCTAGCTCGTAACACATGAACATTAATATAACATGTTTTAGCTATGCTTTTGGCCTTGAAGGGGAACCCTTATTGCACAATCGTTTTAGATAAATATAAATTCCCATTCAAATAACACTAAGATTACAAAGAAAAAAACTATAGAAAGAAGAACAGGAACGACAAGCAGAGCATAAAGGAAGGGAGAGGAAAACATACCACAAGAGTTCCTTTGCAGTGGCTGCATTTGAAGCAGGATTTATGATAAGGCACCCCTTCAAGAGACATCATATCAACAAAATAAACAGTCTTATCACAAGCCTTGCACTTATCCAGGGTTCCCGTGAATGCCATTGTTCTTTCTTTTTATTCCTCTTTCCTCGTATCCTTCAAAATGATCCCGGAACTCGGGAAATATTTTGTGTTCAGGTTGTCTGAGAATCTAAGAGATGTCCGAACAATGAAAAGCACCCTGGGGTTGTTCTTCGTTCCCTCCTCAGACACATGGAAATTAAACAAAGAAGTCTTTCTCTTGTCAAAACAAAACTAATTTATACCAAGTTCGTCACAAATTCTTGGCTTCTCTTGCAATGGAGAAAATTGCTTTGGATCGACCTGTGTAAAGCGGACACGTGATTGGAGATCCCAAACATCTATGAGATAAAAATGTTAATTATCTAATTGTGGATGTAAACCTGTTGGATTGGAGTAAAAAAAGGTTTGGTGCTCTGACTTTTTCTGGAGAAAAATTGCAGGGGGGGGCAAAATGGGGGGAAACAAAAATTTAATCATGAAAATGAAAAACCAACTGTTATTGCTATTCGACATGATGGCTGTTGATTTATTTTTCAAGTTAAGGATTTTGGACAATGATTGTTTTTAAATAGGACTTTTTAATATATTTAAATGATATTTTTATTTTAAAAAATTATTTTTAATATTAATATATCTAAATAATAAATTATTTTTTTTTTTTAGATTTTAAAAACACAGTTACAAACACGTCACCCCCAACTACCTCTAAGATACACTATCAGTTGTCTGAAAAGGTACACACCAAACCAAACCATACTGCTCCCATTATGCGAAATAGCAATAACAAATTCAAGCATTATCAGAAGTTGCTGCTTGGGATTGTCCTCTTCACTTCAGATGTAAGGAATTATTTTATTTTATTTTATTTTATTTTTCAATTTCAAAGAACCAGTAATTAGGTTGAGGTTTTAAGATATATATATATATTTTGTTTCCGATGATCTGTGGGTGGTTTTATTTCTATAAATATATACAGCGGCAGAAATAAAACCACCCGCAGATCATCGGAAACAAGAAATATTCATGTCAGTAGCGTGCAATGCCAACAGAAAATTAAGTGAAACGAGAATTACAAGTTGATATACAGACATGAAATGCAGACAAAAAGTACCGAATTCTTACTATTTCCATGATACACGGCTTCTTAGTTGACGATCCTTCACCGGAAAACGATGACATTTTCACTCCAAACCCTTAAATTCTACAAGATTTTTTTAACACAAATGCACATTCTTTGAGCACATTTACAGTGATGAATGACGATACCATCAATACCTAATTTAGCAAAAGAAACCTCATGAGCCACAGCAACAGAAGCACTTCGACGCATCCGTACTGAACAAAACAAGAAAACAAAAATACTTAAATCAAACATTAAGCACGCGTAATTATGATTCATTCTATCCTAATTAATCCTTGCTTGCGCCCATATTAGTAATAATGTTATTGCTATATTATTTGTACCGAAATTTGCATGCGCAGCTATTTTATATTGAGTTTCAACTTTTATGTTAAAAATTATTTATTTTTATTTAAATTTATTTTTTAATATTTTTATATCATTTTAATGTGTTAATATATTTTAATATATATTTTGAATAAAAAATAATTTAAAAAATAATTATTACTACACCCTTAAACATTCTTTTAATATAAAAGTTTATTTAATGTTTGTGTGCTTGATATAAAATGCTTTTAATTTAAAAATATATTATTTTTATTATTTTTAACAATAAAACATCTAAATAAAAAATTTAAAAATATTAATTTGAATTTTTTTAATTTTATCCCATTGATATATAAATTATTTTACTGGTTATTTTTTTTTTATTAAAATATAGAAGTAACCCTTATGCAAAAGCTTAAAAAAAATATTATTTTAAGGGTAATAATGTAAATTTACTGTCCTAAAACTAAAATACCATTCATGTCTCCCATTAATTCCAGTGCACCAAAATTATCATAATACAATAACTATTTTACCCTTAAACATTTTACTAAGAGTTATTTTTTCAAAATGCAAGGAAGAAAAAAATACCATTCCCGAACACGGTAAACTATATTTAGGTGTAAAGTATTTTCACTTTCTGTTTTAGTTTCTTCTTAATAATTTATAATATAATTATAATTATTTAATAATAAATCAGGCTCATCACTACCGATAGACGGGGCCACTGGTTTTTGCAAAGGCCTCGTTAGTAGTACTATCCATGAGTGGTGGGTCCCGATGATGGTAGTAGTTATCCACTTCATGTGATGACTTGTCCACCTTCTAGATTTTGCTTGCAGGTCCAACCAGCGCGTGATTTAAAAACAGTCCAATCAGTGCGTGATATTAAAAACAGTCCAATCGCCACTTTTTATCCATTTTTCCTCCTTTTCTTGCAAAACCCTGTTAATAATCTGCTTCTTTCTCCTCTTTACTTGGATTAAAAATTCACAACCAGTAACCGGCTTCACATTCTTTCTGTCCTGTCCAAAATGGCCATCACCTTATCTATATCAGCTGGAAATTGTGGCAAAGAGAGGCCATGCATTGAACTTGGTTCAAATGCTTCCATTGTCAAGGATGTTTTTGGTGAAAATTTGATTAGAAGTTGTAAATTTAGAAGGGGAAATGGATATAGGTGTAAAGGGGTTCGTGTCATTGCAAGAACTAAGAAATGGAAGAAGCATGAATACCCCTGGCCTGATAATATTGATCCAAATATTACTAGTGGGCACTTGAGTTACTTGTCTCATTTCAAGCCTTTAACTGAGAAACCAAAGCCAGTGACACTTCCTTTCGAGAAGCCATTGATTGATCTTGAAAAGAGAATTATTGAGGTCAGTTAGTTGTTTTTCTTTGTTATTATTAGTGTAATTCTATTGATAAGGCAATAATTCCCCTTGAGCCCTTTTATTATTTATTTGTTGTATAGCTCACTGTGTTTCTTGCAGGTACGTAGAATGGCTGATGAAACTGGCCTGGATTTCAGTGATCAAATTTTGGCTTTAGAAAACAAGTATCAGCAGGTAAAGTTGGCTATAACCTATAACCATTTCAGTTTTTGCAGTCGCATCAAAATTTACATCAGTTTGCATTTTTGCGTTGAGCATGTGGATTAACTAGATATCCACGGGGATCCTTGACTTCATTAACTCTTGGCCCCTGCAACACATAATTCCCGCAACTTACATGGCATAATTCTTTGATAGAAGCATTGATTCTTGCAACTTATATGGCATAATTCTGTTTATAATGTCTGCAAGTATCTGAACTAGTGAATTGTTGAAATAGGCCAGCATGGATAACCAACTCTAACATTGTTAGATAGGTATTATGTTAGTCTTATCTGTTATTGCTATTTGATATTCATGTTAATTGCGTCTATTCGTTCTTTCCACTTAAATTTCAGGCACTGAAAGATTTATACACGCATTTGACACCCATTCAGCGCCTGTCTATTGCTAGGCATCCCAACAGACCAACAGTTCTTGATAATATTTTCAATATCACTGAGAAGGTATGGCATTTCTTTAGTATTTAGACTAATTTATGAAGTGTAATTTCTGATTTTTCTTTCGTCATTGTTTAGTGGGTGGAACTCCATGGAGATCGTGCAGGTTATGATGATCCAGCTATTGTGACTGGTATTGGAACCATTGATGGTAAAAGCTACATGTTCATAGGCCATCAAAAAGGTAGGAACACAAAGGAGAATATCGCTCGCAACTTTGCAATGCCAACTCCTCATGGGTATGTTCAAGAATGTTACAATAAATGAATAAAAGAAGCTATCAAATTGCAAGACATTTTAATTTTGCACAATTTTAGAAAATTCTGGCCAAGATACAAATATCATTAATTGTTCTTGCAAGTCGCAAAGAATACTGAAATTGTCATCAGGAACCTTGCATCTCTTGCATGTTTTTCTGGTGAGGACTAGATTTATGCTTAAAGCACTGACATAAACAGCTATCGGAAGGCCTTGCGCATGATGAAATATGCTGATCACCATGGTTTCCCCATAATCACTTTTGTTGACACTCCTGGGGCCTTTGCTGATCTCAAATCTGAGGAACTTGGTCAGGTGTGTGCACACCTTTCCCTTACCTTGGAAGTAGCCTAGCATTCATGCGTCCATGCCATTATCATGAATGGATTGTTCTCTTCTGACTCAGGGTGAAGCAATAGCCCATAATCTGAGGACTATGTTTGGCCTGAAAGTGCCTATTGTATCAATTATAACTGGTGAAGGTGGTTCTGGTGGAGCTCTTGCAATTGCTTGTTGCAATAAAATGCTTATGCTCGAGAACTCTGCTTTCTATGTTGCAAGGTGATATTAGTTCTTTCTTCTTCTTCTTTCCTTACTTTTCTCTTTTTGAAATTGTACTCTTTGTTAGTCGCAATCTAGGAAACCTTTAGAGTTCTCATTAGGGTTCCAAATTATAGAGGATAAACTCTCTATTCCTCGTTAATGAACTAATCAAGCTGCAAATAGGAAGACTGCTCTGCTTGAAGTATCCAGCTTCTGTTTAGGTACCTTCTTGGGATGTAAACTGATATTTCAAAGTGTTGAAACTAGAAATTTAGAATGTTACAATTGCAATTGTAATGTTACTATTTGGTTTGTAACTAGAGTGTTACAATTGCACATATGAGAGCTTCATCATTTCACCTCTCACCATTAGCTTCGATTATGGAGCCTCCTATATTCACAATGAATTCTCCTTTCCCTGTTATTTTCGTTGTGGCTTTTAAACTCCTGGAATTCTGCACAGTCAAATTCTCAATGATTCCTTGATGTTTGAGTTGTTGCATCATTTCTGTGGTATTGTTTCTTTGATCAGTCCTGAAGCATGTGCTGCCATATTGTGGAAGTCTTCTCAAGCAGCTCCTAAGGTACTTTAATTGTTTAATCATTAGATTTACATGATGATTTGGCCATTTAATTAATCTCGATATGTTTAACTTTTCTAGGCAGCTGAGAAACTGAGGATTACAGCTCAAGAACATTACAAGCTGAAAATTGCTGATGGCATAATTCCTGTATGCAATCTGGTCCCATAACAATTTCTTCCTTTCTTTCAGCACCAATGAATAATGATGGCATATATTCAACTCAGCAACTTTCTTCAGTTCAGCTTTTCACTGCTGATGTCATTGCTATCATTTACAGGAGCCTCTTGGGGGTGCCCATGTGGATCCTGCATGGACTTCCCAACAAATTAAGCTTGCAATCATCCAAACCATGGAGGTAAGTGATATCCTACAAGGACATTTGCAGCCCTTTTTGTAAGCAAACATCGTTTCAAAATTTTGCAGATCTTTTCACTCAGGAGAAACATATTTTGTCCGTTTACTGTTCCCTTATTAAAATTCTATATGTTGCTACTGAAGTCATTATCAGATTGCAACTTCTTGTCTTTTTGCCATTAGATAGAGCCCTGGGCAACCATATCGATATAGAAGTATTGTGCCTTAAAAATTTGCTATTTCAATTTCTTTCGTGCCAGTAAAGCAGGATGTTTACCCCTTCTTTTGGTTGCTTCTCCTTTATGATTTTGCACTCTACTTTTGTTACTTATTTGCTTTGTTGGTTTTCCAGTCATCCCCACTACTTAAAGCAATGCTAACATGTATCTAGGAACTAACAAAGATGGATAACGAAGAGTTGCTCCACCACCGGAAGCTCAAGTATCGGTATATTGGAGGTTTCCAAGAAGGTGTGCCGGTGGAACCAGAGAGAAAGCGCAACATGAAACTATCCGAGGTTAACAAGCCAATGACAGATGATATCGAGCTAGAGCTTGAAAACTTGAAGAAGAAGATTCTCGAATCCAATAGTGCAACGGATCCAATTTCAAGCCAAGCAATTGAGAAGCTCAAGCAAGACCTGGACCAGGAGATTACCAATGCTTTTATTTCAATGGGCTTACAAGAGAAGCTCGAATCAGTCAAATTAGAGTTATCTACAGCCTCTAACGACCACCCTAATCGCCACTTGAAGGAGAAGGTCGACCAAATCATGCAAGAATTCCAGCATAATTTGGCGCGACCGGGAGCCTATCTTGGGTTGAAGCAGAAGCTTGAAAAGTTAAACATGGTTGGGAAGCTCATTGAGCTAAAAGAGAAAAGTGAGAAACTGAAAGCAGAGATAAACCAAAAGGTCCCAGATGAGTTAAAAGCAAAGATGAAACTTTTGAAGGATGCTCGAGAAAAGTTGTCAAAAGGCGAAGCAACAGACAAAGACGTGGTGGAACAAACAGAGAGGGCTAAGCAAGAGCTGATTGAGTTTCTGAAGTCAGTTGGGTTGGAGATTGTAGGGGTAACTAAAAGAAATGTAGCACCTCCACCTCCTTCATTGCAAGAGAAAATAACAAAGGTGAATAAAGAGATAGCTGAAGAAATTGAAAGAGTGATAAATGTTGCAGGTCTTGGTGACAAAGTTGAGGAACTGAAATCAGAAATAGCAAGAGGGTCGAGTTCCGAAAAAGTAGAAAAAATGCAAGCAGAGATCAAGAAGGAAATCCTTGCTGCTTTGGAAGCCATGGCATGCAAAGAAAAGTTAGAGAACCTGAGAGTGGAGCTGGCATCCACCTCAGGAAAAGCTGAAGACAAAGTGGCCGAAAACGGCAGATTGTGAAATACATCTTACTTTATACATCAGTTGGTATAATAGTTTTGGATCCTGCATCTAGAGACATAAAGGTGTATTCGAGCAACTACTTTCAGCATTTTCCCTTTTCTTTCCTGGGCTGCCCGGCATCAGTTGAACTCCATGATGGGACTAGATGTGAATTCTCTGCATTGCGTTCCTCTAATCCTAGTGAATGATTTTATCCTGTTATGTTTGACGAAGATGATGGAGGAAATCTGTGGTTCCATAGAGCAAATACCATGAGCTGTTTGTGAGAAACTGTGTTTCATGACTTTTTGAATTTTTTTTGGCTTGGTATTAATTTTATTTATGTTTTTAAATTATTTTAATATAATAATGTTAAAAATGATTTTTTTTTTATATATTTCCAGTTCTGTCATGTCATGAAGGAGCAGATATAAGCTTATCAGATATGACAAGATTGGCACAGCTGATTGATGATTGATTTCCTTTTCTTCTTGATAGACAAGTGGATTTGTTGGTGTACCTACAAGATTTGTCTACTTACTGATTCTTTATCTTTTCATGCTTGCCTTCCCCCCTAAGTTGAATTGCTCTTGCTCAATTCTATAGTTTCACTCTCTTCTTTGATCTTATCCGGCCCTACAAATGCTTGCAAAAAGCACTCTATCATATGATTTGATTTTCCGTTTTCTTCCTTTTGTTTACTTGCTTTTGAAGCTGCCTTTGCTTTTTTTCTTGGCCCATGCAAGCACCTACGGTGTCTTTCTTCTTTGATGATTTCTAATTTTTTTATTTTTAATGATTTCAACTTTCGAATTATAGGTGTTCTGATCCACGTTCGTTTTGTTATATTCAGTGGGTGTTTGTTTAGATATGTGGTGTTTATTTGTTAAAGTGTTTTTTATTTTAAAATATATTAAAATAATTTAAAAATATATTAATTTGAAACAAAAATAAAATAAAAAAATTTTCAAATATTTTTTCAACCTGCTTAATCTATTTTCTCCAAATAAATCATCGGTTGTGTGTATTTCACCGTAAAATAAAATATAACTAATAACATTAAAAAATTATATAAAAAAACCATCGAGTAATCAACCTTCCCTACTATTATGATAAAAATATTGCCAGTAAATTAGTCCTATAATATACTATTCTATGGCTTTTAATTAAATGATTTTTGGTGTTTTTTTACCAAGAAAAAACAGAAAAGACTAGCTTGTCATATTATATTGTCGATATAATAGCAGGGATAGGGCATCGCTCAAAATATCGTACGATATAAAGGATAAAATCAGGGGGGAAAAGACATGGTTCCGGGGGCATCCGTATAGCTTAGCCTCCATGGAGATGCTTGAAAAAACATGTTTTTAGAGTATTTTTTTAAATATACTAAGATAATATATATTTTTTAATTTTTAAAATTTATTTTTAATAATAATACATATATAAAATAAAAAATATTTTTTAAAAAATAAAAAAATTATGGTTAAACTGCTACACAAGCAATACATAAGGAGGTGTTTGAATTTTTAATGCAAATATGTTTTTTATATTAATTTTTTAAAATAAAAAACATTTTTAAAAAAAACTGTACCAAACAACCCGAATATAAACATAAAGCTATATTGCACCCAACTCCTCGATGTCTTGGTAATTCTTAACGGTATTAAAATGCTTGAAATACTACTTACACCTCGCAACTTGTTTGTTTTATCCACTATGGTCCCTTTGAAATTCGAATCCTTTGGATCCGACGACAGAGAATGGAACAGAGAAATTAGAATCGGAACTTTAGTTTCAGAAATAAAGATTTTTAACTTTAAATAAATTTAATTGAAATAAACAATAACTAATAGATGCATTATAAAGAGGGAAACTACTTGGATAATTACCGAGAAAACCACAATTCCTTTTTTTTTAATTAATAAAATAACAGCTCATTAATTATCAAACATTTATACAATCATCAAATTAAAAAAAAAAAACATAGTTTTTCACTATATTATATGCCATGTTGTTTTTTTTTTCAAGTGAAGATTTGAAGATATAAAACATCTTATGAACGCAACATGAGTAGCACTACCCATTACTAAACTTAATTAGACTGTGATTATGTTTGACTAATTACAGTAAGTTTAAATTTCTTTTTAATTACAATCTAATTTAATTAATAAAAAATAAAATTGGACTCGTCATCCTCTCTAGCCACCTCTTGGTGCCCGCGATATCTTAACTCTATTAGACACTATAATTGAAAAGTATTTTGAAAAAAATCTTGATTTTTTTTTAATTTTTAGTTTAAATTAATTTTTTTGATATTTTTATATCATATTGATATATCAATATTAAAAATAATTTTTAAAAATAAAAAAAATATTATTTTAATATATTTTAAAAATAACAGTCACCACTCTAAAGTTTTAATATCAGAAAATAAAAATTTACACATTCAAGCTTTACAGAAAATAAAAAACAAAGCACTAAAGTTTCACAAAATAAAATAAAATGGTTATAATTTTTAAATAAGCAACAATAGCGACATCTTTGGTGTGTCCATGAAAAAATATTTTAATAAAGGTCGGCGGTGTTACTCAATAATTTAAACAAAGGAGGGCAACAAATGCAAATAACAAAACAATATCCTGAAGCCCTAGAAACGGTTTCCTCCTCATTTTTTGGCCTTTCCATCGAAACACAGACACCGTAAGCGCCATGAATCTTCCTCTTTATCTCCTCTTTCCGTAGCCTTCAAAAACGAAATCATTCAATTTCTATATCTGCAAGTTCTAAAATCACTCCATCCTCTCATTTTCTCCTCAGATCCGTACCCTTTGACCACTCAATTACCACCCGAATTTACGATCTCATCCAAACGGAAAACCACCTCTGCACTCCCCTCCAGAACCAGCGCTCTCCTTTGGAATAACCTCCTGTTTTGTGCTAATTTACGATTTACCCCATTATGGAACACTAGATTTTCCTCTCTCTCTCTCCCTCTCACAGTTTAAATTTTCAATTTCAACTCACAAAAGAAGTCTTTAGTCTTTAATTCTTTGAACCAAAACTCCACAGTTTCAAATCTCATTGATTCCTGTAAGTATTTTAATCTACCGTTGTAACCTTGAACCCTAGGCTTAAGATCGTTCTTGTTTCTAGTTTTTTGTACAAATTCCGGGGTCTGAATCGGTGATTTAGTTGCTTAGTTAGGGTTAGGCTTCTTTTTTTTGTGATGAACAACAACAATAGAGGAAGGTATCCGCCAGGTATCGGCGCCGGTAGAGGCGGAGGTATGAGTGCGAACCCTAATTTTCAATCCAGGGTGCCGCAACAGCAGTACGTGCAGAGACATTTTGGGCAGAATCATCATCAACAACAATATAATCAACATCAACAGAATCACAATCAGCAACAGCAACAGCAACAGCATCAGCATCAGCAGCAGCAGTGGTTGAGGAGGAATCAGCTAGCTGCTGCCGATTCGAGCGTTGACGAGGTCGAAAAGACTGTTCAGTCTGAGGCCGTTGACTCGAGGTTAGCTTTTATTCATGTGGATAAATTCTTTTTTAAATGTTTTATTTTATTTTGCTCAAATAAATATTTATATGTCGTATGAGTGTTTGCTAGTGTTGGAAAAGAGCTCCGTAGATGTTATTTCTGTAGTATTTTAAGTATGCTGTGAGGGAAGGATCCGAACGCAGAGATTGCTTGCTATAATTATAAGTGATCAGAAAATGATGGTGAAAAACCTTGGACTGGAAGCGAGCATCACCTGATGTTATCTGTTAGTTCGGATGTAATGTGTGAAATATTTGTGTCCCATGCAAGAGCAGCATCAGATTGCGCACGGGATTTTGTTGACATTTCTAGATTTCTCACCCTGCCTTGCGTACATTGTGCTGCTCTATGCTTTGTTTATAGTGCAATCCTTGTGTTTTTGCAAACTTCCAATGATTGTTGTAGACTAAAGTCTTATGGTCTCCTGTTTTTTGTTTCTTCTTTCTAGTTCACAAGATTGGAAGGCAAAGCTAAAGATACCACCAGCTGACACGCGATACCAAACCGAGGTAGGGTTTTTTTAATCAGATATTTACATGCACATTTCTGAACTTAAAACAAGGATTATGTAACCTTAGACTGTCTTGTCTTTGCTCTGCACATGTAAAAGAGCATTCATCTGACTTCATTTTTGTATGTTGATGCTGGAAATGGTTCATTTTTATAGTCTGGTGGATCCTTTGTTTTCTATCACAGATATAATGTCAAAAGAACTGTGGAAGTACTGTCTCCTTAATGAGCTGGTGAACATCATGTGTATCCGTGGACTTTTATTAAAGGAAAAATCTCTATGAATCCCGTTTCACTGTTTAAACATCTGTCTTGCAGGATGTGACAGCCACAAAAGGGAATGATTTTGAGGATTATTTTCTGAAGCGTGAGTTGCTTATGGGAATATATGAGAAGGGTTTTGAAAGCCCATCTCCTATTCAGGAAGAGAGCATACCAATCGCTCTTACTGGCAGTGATATTCTAGCTAGAGCTAAAAACGGGACAGGGAAAACAGCAGCATTTTGCATTCCTGCCTTGGAAAAGATTGACCAAGATAACAATTTTATTCAAGGTCCGTCTTCAGTCAATTAACTTCTTCATTTGCTATTTATGCGCATGTTTATCATATAAGACCATTGAGATGCATTAGTTGCATGATTGGACTATGATAGTTTTACATATATAATCCGCTTTATTGTCTTTTGCATTGTGACATTTTCTGATTGCCACCAATTTAATTAGTCTTATGCATGGAAAGGTGAATGTATGCATATGGTTTGTTGCTTGCAGATGTGATAATGACTGCAGGTGGCTAGTTTGGCATTTAGGAACATGATATCTGTAGAGTTTATGAAGTGATAATGAAATGAGAAGATAGGAATATAAGCACTATAATGGTGGGGTGATGATTTGAGTTCAGCTGACCTTTTTTTGTAACCTAAATCAGTGTTGTCAAAGGCAAAAGGTGCTGAAAAGCGCCAAGCCTGGAAAATGCTCGAGGTGCTAGACGCATGCCTGAATGAACAAAGGTGCTCAACCTGTATGATATAAAACATTACATGTATAATATTATATATGATATCTTAGTAGAAATTTCAGCAACATAATAGGAGAGAGAGAAGGAATAACATGGAGAGAGAAAAAAAGTGAGGAAGAGAGAAATTAAGAAACAAAAAGATGAGA